GCTAGTAGCTATGTTTAGCAAGCTATCAGAATGAAAGAATAGAAAAAAATTGGCTGGATTTCAAGAAGGAATGAAAGGAAATGGATGGGGGGTGTCCTGCAATTTTGGAAACTTGTAAGTATAGCAGAGATAATTGCTCCCAAGCCCAAATAATGAGAATAAAATTGAAAAATTCTTTGAGTAACAAAGATTTAAAATTCAAATTTGCAGCAAGAATCAAATAAAGGATGTGGCTATTATGCTGACTCTTTAAAAACCTCTGAATGGATTAAGGTAGCCCTAGTAAATCCTTTCAATTGGATAAAATGATTTAGTGGGGAAAAGAGACTAACAGTGTGAGCCTCACAAGCTCCAAACACCTTCAACTACACAGAGAGGCAAAGGCATGGAGTAAGGAGGAAAAGAAAGATGACAGACAAGAAAATAAGTCTTGAAAAGAATTTTGAATGGGATTATTGACAAATGCAACAGTGCAAATCAAATATTCATAAGAAACTTAAGTTTTTGAAAGAATTTGTTTGTTGCATTAGTCTTGAGTAAAGGAGACTGTGATTGCTTAAGATTTAACCTATTAGCTCTCAACTTTCTATGGCAAAGACTTACGCTAAGAAATTTACTCATTCTTCCAGGAGAGCATAATCCCAACTGCAACTTTAAATCTGACCAAAAAGGATTATGGAAAATGAATGATATCCCAAAATGTAAGGACATATTTCATGCAGGAAACAGACAAGGAAGTTCTTGGGAGAACTGCCGTTCAAGTAAGGAATAGTTCTCCCCTCCTCATAGGAGGCCCTTCAAGTGTCTGTCCAGTATGATATCAGAACTACCAGAGATTAGTGTTGGCTTTGTATTTCCATGGTTCCCATTTCCAAATGGGAGTCTTTACTGCAAATATGCTATTCCTGTTGCACTATTGTCTACTGGGTGCAAGGTGAAGGAGAGGGTTTCCTAATTCTATATTCTATGGAGGGGACTTTTGATTTTTTTAAATTTTATTTATTTATGATAGTCACAGAGAGAGAGAGAGAGAGAGAGAGAGAGAGAGGCAGAGACATAGGCAGAGGGAGAAGCAGGCTCCATGCACCAGGAGCCCGACATGGGATTCGATCCCGGGTCTCCAGGATCGTGCCCTGGGCCAAAGGCAGGCGCCAAACCGCTGCGCCACCCAGGGATCCCTGGAGGAGACTTTTGGATAGTTCTCCTTAGGAAGAAGGTAAGTACATTTTGCGTGTGAGAAGGAGTGTTAACCAAATATTTGGCGACCAGAAGGGAAAACTGGTAAGTTGTGCTGCTTACTTATATCTATTTCTCTCTTTCTGTCTCTCTCTCCCTCTCTCACTTTTTTCTCCTCTCTTTCTTTTCCCAGGCATATACACAACTGAATTTCCTGGATCCCTTGTTTTTGAGAGGAATCATGTGACTATTTCCAGCCAATGAGTTGTCAGAAGAGATGACACCTGTTGTTTCCAGGCAGGATAATTTAATTATTTGTGTCTTATCTTCCTGAGTTCCATTTCCCTCTGCCCCAAAGATCATCAACTTTCGGGCAGCCTCATCCAGAAGAAAAGATGTCACTGAATAGACAGACCACCAGGCCATGATGCACATGCGGACTAGTGAGAAAAAGGTAAGCCACCGAGATTTAGAGGTTAAGTGCCCCACACATTCTGCCTTGGCATTCACAGTTCTTCAGGGTGCTGACAGCTTTCTACTATAAGCATCTGCATCTCTCTACTTTTTTCTGACATGATAGGCCCACGCAAAGCAGGCTGGAATATCAGCCAGTTGATTTCCCAAGGAGAACTCAGCCAATGAAAGATGAGAGCCAAATGACAAGTTTCTTCATTCCTTCCCCACCCTTTTGAAGCACATGCCACACACAACCTTCCAAGATTCCCAGCAGTGTTTGAGTCTCATTGTCCTCTGCAGTAACCTGTTCTTTAATTTACCTGGAATGACATCATTCTCTTCCCTTACTTCCCTACTCCCAATTCTTGGTATATTTCCTATGTAAACTACTGACACTCAAATTGTTAGCTCAGGGTTTGTTCCTGCAGAAACTCAAGCCATGACATAATGGAGCAATTTAGGGTCTTATCTCCCAGAGAGTGATTTTATATAGGACAGATAAAGAATTCGGGGGGGTGATGGTGGTGATAAAGCCTTCCTGCTCTCTGTATGTTAGAAAGCATATTTTTTTGTTCTAGAAGTTTCCTTTAAAACATAAAAAAGAAGGTATAGTAGTATAATACTGAATATTCCTTACCTAACATGTTTTACCAATGGATGCTCTTTCTAAATATTACTTAAGATTTTTCTTCCTACTTTTTCCTGGTTACTCTGTTTTCTCTCCTACCCAGCACCAACAATTACTTCAATTTCATTAACAGCCCTAGGAGGACAGAAGATGCCAACTAAAAGAAACGTCAATTCCATTTGTGGAATAAAATATCAAAATAATGGTAAAGACAGTTATCTCTTGAAAATACAGTGATATTCTTGAATACTATGAATAGCAGTAAGAAAAAATTCCTACAGCAAGAAACACATTTATGTATAAATAGCACAGGGGAAAGAGAACAGTTCAAGAGCCATACAACTTCAAACATGAGGCTAGATGAGAATTTGCATAGCTGATGATGGGGAGGAAAATTAGAGATGGTATTAAGATGCTAGACTAAAATATACTTCATGGAAGAGAGAGGAACCAGCAACTAGAGAACACCCAAATCTGTCTACATGGGGGCCATTAATCAAAAATAGGTGCCAAGTCAGTATACAACAGGTCATTTATTGCAGTTCAAATAAGCATTGTGAATTTCCTTCAGGGTAAAGTCCTATTAACCTACTATAACCATCCTGTGTGGGCCTCCCAGCAATATCTGATTCCCTATGTCACGTCAATAATTGAGTAGGAGTGCTAATTGTCTGGGCTAATATTTTGCTCAGTCCTTTCCAAATTATGGCAACCCAGGACACTCACAAGCTACCCACAGCAAAGATTTGATCACCTGGATGTGCAAGACAGATGGGGAAAATCTCCACTTCTTATCTGTACTTGAAAGGAGAATAAATAGAATCAGTTCAAGATTTCCCTCTTCCCCGGCCAAGAGAATGGCAAAAATTACCAAGTATTACACAGAGATTGTTTGAGAGTGGGTGAAAATCATTGGCATAATATAAGAAAATGAAGACTTCAAGTTTACTGATCTCCAACATTTGTTACCATAAGATAAAAATGATAAATTTAGCATATTTTAATAGATATATAATGTATTGGCCTAGGCATGAAATAATAAATGCTTTTCCTAACAAGTTAGGCAGCCCCTATGGTAACAAATTTATTCATTCACCAAATATTTATTGTGCAGCTATTGTGCTATTTCTGTGTGGATGGTAAGAGGCTTCTGGGTCTTAATATTGTATTGCTCCAGGATTTTCCTTGGTCTTCTTGTTTCATCTACACGCTCATCAGTTTGGGGAATTTAAATTTAATACACTGATTAATCTCTCATCCATAACCCTAGCCTAAATCTCTCCTTTGATCTACAGACTAGATATCTAACCGCTTACTACATCTGTCCATTTGGATGTTGTAACAGTCATCTAGAATGATATCCAAAAAAATAACCTCTTGATCACTGCCCACCTATGCCAGCAGTTCTTCCTAATCTAGTAAAATGTCAAAATCCTTTTCCATCTTGAAATCCTTTGGGTTTTTCTTTCCTTTACATTGCAGATTTAAATCATCTGGGGTGTTCCCCCCAGATCCATTGCCAAATGTGGTATGAGTCTGCCCACATTGCCCTGCCTCCGCTGCTTTAGCCAACCTAATCAGAAGCACCTTCTACCCAATTACTGTCTCACCTCTTCACTGATCTTCTGGTCTCTTCACTTGACCCATTTTTGTCCACATTCTACACAGAGATCAAAAGTGATCTTTTAAAAAATGTAAACAGGACCACATCCCTCTGCAGAATTAAGACGCGCAGTGATTTCCAACTACATTTAAAGCCAGTGAACACACATCTCCCGGCCTAGAGGTCCTATAAAAACAGAGCTTCTTAGTACTCCTATCTGACTAGGTTTCCTCAAATTGTGCCTGAACCATGTTTGTCTTTGCATGTCTACCTCCATTCCTCTACAACTGCATTTCTCTCTTGGTTAGTAGGCTCCTCCCCATCCTCTCTGCAGTATCTTAGCTGTCTTTCCATTTCTTCACTCCAACTCAACCTCTATTTTTAAATTTCTCCATAGGACTGGTCACTACTGAAATTCTACTTATTATGTATTTATTTTGTGCCAATTGTCTGTCAACTCTTCACTAAAATGTACATCACAGGAGGGACCTTGTTCTGTTTTCTGCTGTATCTTTAATATCTAGAACAAAATTTGGCATGTAGAAGACTCTCAATAAATGTTTCTGAATGAATGAAAAGCTAATTTCTTGAACCATCTCCAAGTTTGATTGCTGATTTGGATACATGTATATCACGAGAGAGCTAGTTACTGTACATATGGCTGCAAGAGCAGAAACCTTGATATAGCAAATAATTTTCCCCTTCTCTAAACTACTCTTTCTTCCTTTTCTCCAGTCACCTAGGAGTTCATCCTTACCAGGCTTAATCACAGAATGTGTTTCCTTCTCCTCACTGCAGAAAAGAGAACAGACTCATAAAACAAATACAGAAGTTTTGTGGAGTTTTGTAAGGTGAGAACAATTTCTTTTTTCTTCCCACTCTCAACCCTTACCTGGAAATCTGCATTTTTCATTGCAAGTTAAGGATCTGTATATGATCTTTAAAAGCCTTTCTCATGCTGAGGCTCTAATGAGAAGAATAACCATTTATATTTGCATGTGGATTTTTATAACAGATAAAGCAGTATCACATGTCTCACTTAAGCTCCTTAATGATTATCTTAGGCTGTATCATAGGAATTTCTATCCTTACTTCACAAATAATGTGAATGAAGTTCTGGGAGGATAAGTGGCTTACCCCAGGTTGAACTCTGACAAGTGATGTTACCAGGAGTGGAATTTGTTCTCATTTCCAACCTTTTTTTTCCATTACGAGAATCATAATCCTGGAAAATATTGGCCCAGAAAATACCAGTCATTAAACAGATGTGGAACTCTATAAAAAAAATAAGGCCTAGTATTAATAAAATGTTCTCAAGAGCTTTTCAGTAAACCCAATGATGTCCTTTCTATCTTCAAAGAAGAAAATGATCATGTACATGACTCTATTAACAAATGACTCTCTCTCATCCTAGCTTTCCAAAGACTTGAATCTAGGTCTGATATCCATCAGTGAGCTATAAAGAATTGCAAAGGACTGGGTCTGAATAATCATGGAAATTGGGCTTAAAAAGATGTGTTGAATCCAAATAGTAGAAGTTAGGAGAGCTTAGGGACTGTGTGTACTTTCCATTCCACCACTGTTTAATTATACATTCTCAGCCAATTTTATACCTTTTATAACTTTTGAGGACTCAACTTTATCGTGTACAAAATAGGGATAATGAAATGTATTAGTCAGTTCCCACTAGATTGTACTGTGTAACAACCTCCAAGTCTTAGTGATTTCAGACAACACAGGTTTATATCCTGCCCATGTTATGTGTTAGCTGTGCTTCATATGTGATGATGCCTGACAGAGACTATTGTTTCTAAGTTCCAAGCTAAAGGAATAGTTTATACCTGGAAAATATTACAATAATAGCACTGGGAACTAAGCAATGGAGAAAGCCAAATATTCAAGCCTATAGCCAATGTTTTTTTTTTTTTCTTTTGGGGAGAACAGAAAATAATTGGAAGCAATAAATCAATATGATCTACAGCATAAGAGAACGTAATTTATAGGATTAGCTTAAGAATTAAATAAAAAAGTTCTTATAAATGTTTAATGCAGGGCAGCCCGGGTGGCTCAGCAGTTTAGTGCTGCCTTCAGCCCAGGGCCTGATCCTGGAGACCTGGAATCGAATCCCACGTCGGGCTCCCTACATGGAGCCTGCTCCTCCCTCTGCCTGTGTCTCTGCCGTTCTCTCTGTCTGTCTGTCTCTCTCTCTCTCTCTGTCTGTCTGTCTCTCATGAATAAATAAATAAAATCTAAAAAATAAAATGAATGTTTAATACAGTTGAGCATGTTCTCAATTATTATACGGATACGAATATATAGATTAGCTTAAGTATCTCTCTCCTGGTTCTCTAATCCTTGCAAAGCTACACAAATTGTCAGTAGGGAACTAACATTTGGAATGTTCTAGGCAGTAATGGGCCCTGTATCATGCAGAGACTTGACATCTTTGAGAGATTAGCAACTGTGTTAAACTAGAACTTTTATATCAACACTGCAGCTGTTTGGGGGGACAGGGTTGAGGGTTTTTGTTATTGTTTTAGTTTTTTTATTGGTTTTTGGTTTTTTGTACTGATAAAAATACTAAAGTATGACATCCTCATTGAGATGGTACTAGGGTCATAAAATGTACTACAATTTCACTTTCCTGTGCATTTATCTTAGAGTCTCTTAGACTCATAAAATGCTCTTTTCATAGAAAGAGCAGATTTTATTTGAGTCTTCTGGATTCTAGTGATGTTTCTTCTTACCTCAATCATGAGCTGCTCTAGTCTCTTTACTCCCTTCTGCTTGTCATCTCATTACTCCTACTCATATTCCCTTGTGTCTCACTTAATATTTCCCCATTCTCTTTAAAACACCTTCTTCAGATATTTGTTAACACTATACCCTACTTCATCTGTACATAAGTAGGTCTTCTCCCAAGTCGTGATTAGTCAGAATTGTGATTATGTAAGTGTTTCTCCTATTACCTAACTGCTAATTGTAGATAACTTTCTAGGAAGGCAGAAAATTGAGTTACAGATTTAGCAAGAATATACCAAAGAGGAAGGGAAAATGTATTTTTCAGGTCAATTGAATTTTTGTATAGATTTTCATGCACAAAAGCCCACAAGTTTCTCTGTCAGTTATATTGCCACTTCCAGAATTGCTGAAGTTTATTATACCAAGTAGTACTCTTCCATTCCCCACCTACTAGTGTCACTGATGTTATAGTTTTAGGGCACCAGGAATTATATCAGTCTGAGTCCCTTTCCTATGAACCCATTATAAGCTGTTGCCTTCTCTTTGCCCCAGCCATCTTCTCCTACTATATATATTCTGTACCTGTTCCAGTCTCCTCTGGCTGAGAGGCCCTACTCCATCTCTCCTGTTATGGATTAAATGTTTGTATCTCCCAAAAATTCATATATGGAAGTTCTAACCCCCAACGTGGGGGTTTGGAAATGGGGGTCTTTGGAAGATAATTAGGTTATGATGAGTTTGTGCCCTTAGACGAAGAGACACCAATGATTTTGCTATCTCTCTCAGCCTTATGAGGAGGCAGTGAGAAGGTAACTATCTGCAAGTCAGGAAGGGAGTTCTTATTAGAAAGCAAATCATAAGGGTTAAGGGGTAGTGGAAAGGGAGGTGGGCAGGGGGTTGGGGTAACTGGGTGACGGGCACTGAGAGGGGCATTTGACAGAATGAGCACTGGGTGTTACATTATATGTTGGCAAATTGAACTCCAATAAAAAAGTAAATAAATAAATAAAAAGGAAAAAAAAAAAAAAGAAGGCAAATCACGGGCAGCCCAGGTGGCTCAGTGGTTTAGTGCTGCATTTGGCCCCGGGCCTGATCCTGGAGACCCTGGATCGAGTGCCATGTTGGGTTCCCTGCCTGGAACCTATTTCTCCCTCTGCCAGTATCTCTGCCTCTCTCGGTCTCTCATGAATCAATCAATCTTTAAAATAAATAAATAAATGTTTTTAAAAAAAGGAAGAAAGAAAGCAAATCACTTTGCACCTTGGTTTTGGTCTCTTTACTACCAGAAATGTGAGAGAAATAAATTCCTGTTGTTTAAGTTACACAGTTTGTGATATTTTGTAGAGTAGCCTGAGCAGGCTAATGAACCTCCTTTCTACATTTAATCAGACAAGGTGAGTTTTATGAGAATAGAAGAATGTTGAGAAGAAGCACTTGAAAAATATCAACATTTAAGGAAAAGGCAAAGACCAAAAAGACATGGAATGAAGTTAAAAAGGCATGGTCCTATAAAAATAATTGTGTAAGAGAATTTCAGGAATTAGGGAGTTTAGGAACTTCTGGCAATAGGTAGGCTAACCTCCATTAAAAAAAAAGAACTATAGAGCTGAATAAAATTATTGAAAACAAATTTAGGGCTCTGGAAATCAACAAAAGGAAAAAAACACATTAAGAAGTATTTATTCTTGGAAAAACTGCTACAGCTTCAAATGAGATCAGTGGGACTCTGTGGCCTTCTTGGCTGGGCCATTCCTGTCACCCTTCTCCCACTTCCCAGCAGAGTCAAGGAGAGCTGTTATTTTATCATTGTATCTGAGAATCCCTGCAGCTTTGTTGAGAAAGTTTGATTTCAGGTGCAAGGTAGAATTGGTTGCTAATTTATTGACTAAAGTGGTAAACTTGATCAAAATAAGTAAGAAAATTTTTATCTTTGCTAGCCTAAGTTTGTGGTCCTGGTTGGAGAAAGTGGCAGTCTAATCAGCAATTCAACAAGGATATCCTGTCAACGAGAGAGCCACAGAAAGGCCGGACAAGCATTCTACATATTTCTCACTGTCTGAGAAACTGCATGCATGTGGAGAAGATACTGGAAAGAGCCTATAATTCCAGTGAAGGCAAGGGAGACTTGAAAATAGGCTTAAATTTGAATGTACCCCCAAAGTCATACAAACTAAATGGGCAGAGGGTATAGAAGCTTTATGGGCTTTGGGTGTTTGAGCACAATTTCTGTCTAACTCACTGACTCATCATTAGCTATGCAGAGACAGGGAAATCCTTAAAATCTAAACAGAGATATCAATAGCAACATACTGCAGTGAATATAGATTTTGCAGTTTATGTTTGGCTAGTTATTTTTTTTAACCATTTCAGAAAAATAAGTCAGAATTCAGAGTTAATAACAATGTATTATTGAAAATGTGCCATCAATATATGAGATATATGGGGGAGGGAGGCAGTTAATAGAAAATGTATAGAAAATGATGCTGAGTGAAATTCAAATGTTGAATTTGTCAGACAAAAAATTCAAAAGTAAACTATGCCTAGAGAATTAAAGGAAATGTGACAACAATGACTTCAGAGGGACTCTCTCTAGAAAAATGAGAACTATTTAAAAAAGAAATTCTAGGGGCAGCCCGGGTGGCTCAGTGGTTTAGCGCCACCTTCAGTCCAGGGTGTGATCTCAGGGACACGGGATCCGGTCCCACATCGGGCTCCCAGCATGGAGCCTGCTTCTCCCTCTGCCTGTGTCTCTGCCCGCCCCCCCATGTGTGTGTGTCTCTATGAATAAATAAATAAAAAATCTTTAAAAAAAGGAAAAAATTCTAAAGTTGACATGTACAGTAACTGAAATAAAAATGCACTAGATGGGTTCTGTAGAAAATCTGAAGTAGGAGAAGAGAAAAGAATCAATATACAGGAATGCAGGAAGGAAGATATAAAGAATAATCTAATACAAAGAATAGTGAGAAAAAGATTAGAGGAAAATGATAAGAGTTTCAGAGACCTGCAAGACAGTATCAGTCATATCAGTATCTGTAGAGTCGAAGTTCCAGAGAAAGGAAGAGGAGAGAAAGTAACAAAATTTTTTTTTTGAAAAAATAATGGTCATAAATTTCCCAAATTTGATAATTATTAATCTACTGATCCAAGAAGTTTGACAAACACCAAGTATTATAAATACAATAATAATCATACCTAGAAGCACCATAGTCAAATCAAAGAGAAAAACCTTGAAAGCAGCAAGAGGAAATGGCTCATCACATTCAGAGGTGCAACAATACAATTGATGGTGGACTTCTCATCAAAAACAGTGAAAGCTGGAAAGCAGTGGGATGGCATATTCAAAGGGCTGACAGAAGGGGAAAAATTATTACCTAAGAATTCTATGTCCAGTAAAAACTATTCCTCAAAAATGAAGATTAAATAAAGGTATCCACATTTTAGAAAACCAGAATTTTTTGCTGAAGGTGGCGCTAAACTGCT